GATTAAAAACCCAGTTCTTATAAAGGTAATCTGAGATACCCAGTCGATACAAACATGGTCTGGCTAGATCTGTATGCTCACAACATTGACACAAACGGGTTCATTGAGTTGGGCGACAAGTATGGCCTGAGAATTCGTGGAAGCAGGTTTGTTGTCCATTACCAAATCGGCGAAGAAGCCATCGACAGTCTACGCAAGCTGTTCACCGAAGTCCTTCAAGGAAAGGAGTCCAGCGGGAAGAAAGCGGAGGCGGATCACAGTGCAGAGGAATTGAAAATGAAGGGCAAAGGTGTAGAGTAGACGCTGGATTGGAACAAACAATCAGAATAGACCGAGTTGATCTTCACTTGGCCATTATTAGAGCATGTTGTAACCATGTATCAACTTGTAGTGTTATACAATACCGTGTGATGCTCGAGTAGTGACCCACCTGCATTGCCCGCATGCGGTTAGTAGCCGCGTTCCGACATAGGTAGGGTGCGAGTTGCCATTCCGACGTTGCGGATAGCATCGGACACTTGCAACAGCACCAAGGGTTTCATGACTCGCTATTACGTTATTCCATGATTTCAATTCATCCCTTAGTTGCTCTCGAGTACAACACCAGGACAATGGTCGTCATTGATACCGCAAACAAATGGCCGCCAAGAGGGGAAGGGCACCGTTCAGACATGAGCCTCTCCTGGGTTGCAGATCTGGACTGCACTCCAGACCTTGGACATAAGCATGTACAAGTTGGCACGCGTCATTGCTCAAAATTTACGGCAGACGTCACGGAAGCCCGTGTCTGTAAAACTCAGTTGCTGTAGATCTCGTTCACGACACTTTTCGTATACGGCAAACTCTCGGTTCTGCAACACACCAGTAAGGATGGCACCCCCAGCTGCACACACGATTATTTCAGACCATCCCGACAAGGTCCGCATGCTCGTTCTTGAAACGGACGAAACCCATCCAGAAACCCAGAAGGAGAAGGGTTCCTTTGGTGTAGTCCTCAATGAACTCCTGAAGAAGGCAGGTGATTCACATAAACCGAATCTTGGTATCGAGACTGCGATGCAATACGTGGTTGAGCCCGAGGGAGGAGCGGTGCCGAAGATTGAGGAGATTGGAGATGACATACATGCCATCCTGATCACAGGCAGTTGCTGGGATGCACATGGTGATGATGAGTGGATACACAAGCTTATGAGATTGATCAAGGGTGTGTACACAATCCATCCGGAAGATCCCCGAGCTGACAATTACCAAGATGTATGGGTTAAAAGACCAGACGTTCGCTTTGCTGGCATATGCTTTGGCCACCAAATCCTTTGCCGCACTCTCGGATCGGATGTCAAGCCTGAAGCGAATGGCGAATGGGAACTCGCTCACACTCCGATTATAGTGTCAGATATCGGTCGTAGATTATTCGACCTCAAGCCGAACGAAGACCGCATACATCTCCATCAGATGCATCTCGACCATGTTGTAAATCCACCATCGGTAGCCACCACCGATCTGCTACCGCGAGGGACAAAGGTACATGTGTGGGGTACGAGCGAACACACTGGTGTGCAAGGAGTCTACATTCACAAGAGACTATTCTCGACGCAAGGCCATATGGAGTTCAACGAGACCATGGTACACAGACAGCTCGAGATGCGAGTCAAGGCAGGAAGCGTAAGTCAAACAGACGCAGACGAAGCCGCAGAATCTGCAGACTGGATGCACGACGGTCTTGTTGTAGCGCAAGCAGTTCTCAGGTTCTTCCATGGCGACGATGACGACATTGCCTGATTTTTGGTGGAAACGAGTCAAGAGTCGGGCCGTCATGGGAGGATCTTTGTCCGCATTTTTCAACCTTGGTTATTCTCCGACAACGTTTCGGCTAGCGTGCTTCCCCATCTCTTCTTGGGGACTACGTCGAAACTTTATCTTGACAGGAACACAACATTGTCATGAGATTTGATGACTTTCCAAGATTACCAAGAAGTGTATCCATGTAATCGGGACCTTTCGGCCTTCACCATCTGCCGGCGTCGCATGAATCTGACCATGTTACATGTACTAGAGAGTTCTTTCTATGGAAAAGGTCTTAAGAGTCGGACGCTTTTCTTCTTATAGCAAGATGATCAGTTGATTGGTACATTCACAGGCTTTCTAAAGGCTAGACGCCCACCTCCCCATTGTTTGAAAATAGTCTACGCTTTGGCTTCCCTTAGTAATGAGTGAACTGAAACCAGGAATTCCTGTCTATTCCCTCCAAATCCACAGATCTTATCCAACTAGCCAGTTAAGGCAGATTTTCTCCTGCTGGCCATGCTTTCTTACTAGTCCTTAGTCAAATGATAAGTTACATCGTATACATAATTTCCGAGTAGTGACAGGACCTACTTGCCAGGATAAGTTTCTATCGTATCCTAGTAAAGTTTGAACCCCTTCCCCTCGGTCACTCGTGAGCCTCGAACGTCGGAAGGCTGTACACCGGGACACAACGCCAGTGGGGAGCAAGGTTAAATCAGCTTATTACATGTCTCCATAGTAAGCCATAAGTATAGATCATTATGCAGTAAGGGAAGTGAGATGGATCTTGACGCAGTACAGAGACCTGACGTTCCCTCTCACTGTCGGTGCTCTTGGGCATGAAGACACTACGCCAAGATGGAATATCAGACATAGCAACTTTGCCGCTTCATGTTCTTCATATCCCCGATTAACAGAATGAAGTTCAATGATTGCCTTGGTGTGGAAGCGGGTATGTCTCGTCACTATGTTGCAAGAACAACACTGCACGACTGTAAGATCAGTAATCTAGTTAGCATCACGACTATGGCTACTACTATGCAGATACCTGGTAATCATATGAAGGGAGATAACCAAACTTGGCTGCTCTCCGAGTCAAGTGGCTTCGCCTCCGCACGCGCGGCCGCTGTTCCAGCGGGAGCTCTTCTCCCCACTCTGGTGGCCACTTGCATAGCGATCAGCTGCGTGAGACGGCTGATGAATGTGATATTTCACTCACTACTTTGTCATTACAATCAATCTCTTGCTGACTTGACTTCATGCTCACGGTTGTTTTCGACTCATTCATTCCATACAAGATCGGACAGTGCTACACATTGTGATTATTCAACACTCTCATCGTCATGAAAGACTCCTTAGAGACCAGGAAGAATTCTCGTGCGAAAAGTCTAATAACAGCACACTCGAGTACAACGGATGTGTCAGGCAAAGCTTCTGAGGAGAATAGTGTGGCGACGGCATCCTCGAGCACGACGGATGTGGAGAAGACTGCCCAGTCGCCTACTTCGACATGCCCTGTATCTGGAACGCCCTACTCGGTTTTTGGCCAAGGGATGAAGAAATGGATCATATTCGTTGTGTCTGTATCCGCTTTAATCTCACCATTTGGTGCAACAACATTCCTACCCGCGCTCAATGTCGTGTCAGATGTTCTGGGCATCACACGGACAGAAGCGAACATATCCATTACAACATATATGGTACTTTCCTTATCGCCCACAACAGAGCCTCGCATTGAGCTAATCAAAGTCAGATTGCCCAAGCAATAGCACCTGCCTTCATCGGAACCTTATCCGACAATAGCGGTCGAAGACTATCATTCATCCTGTGCTTCATCATCTTCATCATTGGCAACATCGGGCTAGCACTGCAAACAAACTACGCCGCTCTACTTGTTCTTCGCATGGTCCAAGCAGTTGGATGCACTGCCGCTGTAGCTCTCACATTCGCTGTCGTTGCTGATCTGACCACCTCTGCCGAGAGAGGCAAGTATATGGGATATGCCGGAGCCGGTATCCTAGCAGGCCCAGCACTTGGCCCCACTATCGGAGGATTACTTGCGCAATATCTTGGATGGCGATCTATCTTTTGGTTCCTTGCCATTTTCTCCGGAGCGCTACTTGTACTGTTCATATTCTTCTTCCCAGAAACGTGCCGCAAAGTCGTCGGTAACGGATCCATACCGCCCACGGGCGTCAACAGATCCGTTCTCAGCTGCATCCAGCAACGTAAACTTTCCAAACAGCAATTCGATTACGATGGCACCAAGACAGTCAAGTCACCCGGACAGAAGGTTGCCTTTCCTAACCCCCTTGTAGCACTGAGCATCCTCTTCGAGAAGGAGTCCGGCATTATGCTCCTGTACAATGGCCTCTTCTTCACTGGCATGATGGTCACTATTACTTCCATTCCCGACCTCTTCGAACAAGCCTACGGCTTCAATGAACTCGAAATCGGCCTCTGCTACATCGCCAACGGCGCAGGTTCGTTCCTCTCTTCGCTAACCATGGGTCACGTCGTCGACTGGAACTTCCGCCGCCACGCCAAATCCATCGGCATGCCTATAATAAAAGGCAAACAACAAGACCTATCCAACTTCCCCATTGAGCGGCTACGCCTTCAAGTCGTCATTCCAGGCCACATCATCGGTATCATTGGTCTTTTGATGTTTGGCTGGACCGTTCATTTCCGGACGCATCTTGTCGGTCCTGAAATTGCGCTCTTCGTGACGGGATTCGGTGTTGCCACGGCGTTTAATATTACCAATGGCCTGCTGCTGGACTTGCATCGGGATCGAGCGGCGGCGTCGACGGCGGCAGGCAATTTCGCAAGATGCTTGATGAGTGCGGGGGGCAGTGCGGCTATTCTGCCCATGTGTCGGGCTATGAATCCTGGGTGGGCATTTACTTCTTTTGCGCTCGTGTATGTTTTGCTGATTGCGGTTGTGTTGTGGGTCATGCGGGATGGGATGAGGTGGAGGCAGGAACTCGAGGAGAAGAAGAGGGTGAAGAGGGAGGAGGCGGAGAACAACAGGAATACTTCACCTGTATGAGCTTTATCTTCTTATTGAAACGAGCAGTACCTAATATGGTGATAGGGAATCGTCGTTTAGTGGGACATGATAATAGAGGGCGTATAATTTGGCGTTTTGGACTCGCAAAACTCAGTGTTACTATAAGGTATATCCTCTAGCTCAATCTTTGTAGGTTTTTCGTATTATTGAAAGTATCTCATCAGTTAAGAATAATTCGTTGTAGTTTTCTGAACGTTCAATGCTAACCCCTTCTTTGTTGCTTAGCCTCGTGGCAGATTTCGATACACGACATTCGCTTACCATCACAGTAAGCGTGACAGTAGGCCTTTGTGCAGTTCACTGTGTTGTTAGAGTCGAACCACGGCTCTATCAGCCTATCCGTTGGCGCCAAGGTGTAGCTTGCAGGTAGAAGGTACCTACAAACCAACACTACGGTAAAAAATTGTTTACTGTAGAATGGTACGCTAGGGGTTTACTATATAGGTGTAAACGGACCTCGGGTATACCCGTAAATAGGTTTAAAGTGGTGGTTTACTTTTAATAGTAGGGGTTTAAATTAAGTATAAAAAGTAGTTTTATGTGTGGGATCCCG